AGTTATCGTGTTTACACACAGACACACAGACATACGGACAGAATGGGACAATCCAGTTTTTCCGACTCCATTACGCATAAAACGCCAAAATTTTGATATATCTGGATTTATAATTTTTGCCCGATTTAAATAAGTCCTCTACATCCCGGATGTGATGAAGGACTGAGGAGTAAAACGGTGAAAACTGTCCAAATTTAATGTGATTTTTGTGCACGATTACAAGACTTTCTCTATACTTCGTATATACGAGAAAGTAAAAAGGAGTCCCTCAAGGAGGAGTCTTGTCTCCTACTCTCATTCTCATCTATATAAATGACTTAAATGAAAACATCCCAAGGATAGTAAAAAGTAGCATGTTCGCAGACGACCTTTGATTAATCAGCACAGAGGAATATATCGGTACTTCAAAATTTCGGCTCCAGGAAACACTTGACAAGCTCTGCAAATGGGCCAAAAACTGGGGCTTATCTATTAATACTAAGAAAACAACCTATTCAATCTTCAATCTGTCAACAAAACATCTAACAATGAAGTTAACCCTAGACAACTCAGTGCTAGACAAAAATGACCATCCCACATACCAGGGAGTCACTTTTGATACTCCACTTACCTGGAGAAAACAAATCAAAAACAGCCAAAGTAAAGGAATCAAAATACTTGACTATTGGGAAACTGGCAGGCACAGAATTTGGAGCAAATCATCTTAACCTGCAAAAATACATACACCAGCTATGTGAGACCTACGTTAGAATATGGTGCTTCGGCTTTGGGCTCAGCAGCTAAAATAAATATTATCAAAATGGACAAAGTTCAGAACATTGCATTGAGAATAATGATTCGAGCTATGAAAATAACGCCGATAAAAACAATGGAGGAAATAGACACTCTAAGCCCAATAGAAAAATGAAGATCGAAAATCCTCACCTAATACATAAAGCTGGAGGCACTAGATCACCATAACCTAAAGCAAAAACTCCAGAAGCCCAGCTCATCAAAAAGACTTCAAAGAATAAGTTTTATGAAAGAAGCCAAAAATCTAAAAAAAGAAGTATGAGATAGAAAACATCATTCCTGAAAAAATGAAAGCTCAAAACCTCATCCCGCCGTGGTTTTCTCACCGTACACTAGTCACCAGAGACTAAACAGATATCATAGAAAAAAAATCTGACTACGATCAAGAAAAACTAAGGAAAGTAACATATAAGCACATTAGAGAATAGTACCCCAATAATACTTGGATTAGAGCAGTGGTTCCCAACCCTGTGCCCGCGGGCGCCATGGCGCCCCCTGAACGATTCGTATGTGCCCGCCTCTCACTATTCGACAGAGACAGAATTTTTGCATAAACATTATTTTAAAATATTATTTATTTTTATTCATTGGTTACAGTTTTAATATTTTTTTCGACTGCCTAGTTTTATTAAATATGTTCGATACTTGTCCCAACTAGTCTAGCGGCGAGCCAGACTGCACTATTAACGTTTTGTCAATACATTTCTCTGTGTGTATGCAATTTGAAAAAAATGCCAAATAATTATTTTTTTGAAACCTTTTTGTTTATTATTTATTAATACATTATGACTATAAGAAAATGAGAAAATAAATTATGGGAAAATGACAAGTTATGGAAGGTTTTGTCGATGTAAAATAGGTGGTGCCCGCCACCCTACCGATATTTTAGAATGTGCTCTAGAGTAAAAAAAAGGTTGGGAACCCCTGGATTAGAGTATACACAGATGGCTCCGCTGAAGTTGTTACGAAAAATGGCGGGGGCTTGGGTCCTTATGAATGGCCTAACGGAGAAAGCTTAGCAAAGTCAATAGCCACAGGCAGTCTATCCGACAATTTTAGAGCAGAGAAAGAAACTTTAGAGCAAGCACCAAACCTCCTGTTAGAACACCCTGAATCTCCAGATATTCAGATAGTCTTTCTTACAGACGCAAAATCTGTCCTGCAGTCCCTAAAAAAACCCAGAATCCTATACTCAATCACCCAGGACAGGCCTTTAAAGGGGTGCACTGTCAAAACTTGACGGGACGAATCGGCCCCGTCAAAACGGCCCCGTTAATATTAACCCGTCAAATCGACCCTCGAAAAAACGACTCAGTCCAAATAGCCCCGTCAAAAGGGCCCCGACCTATTGGCCTCCGTCAAATCGGCTCCCGTTATATTGACTCCCGACAAATAGGTTCCCGATAAATGGGCTCCAGATATTTAGGCTCCCGACAAATGGACTCCTGACATATTGGTTCCCGTAAGATAAGCTCAGGACAAATTGGCTCCGGACATAAGGGCTCACGACAAATGGGCTCCCGATAAATGGGCTCACGACATATTGGCTACCGACAATTGGGCTCCCAACATAGTGGCTTCCGACAAAATGACTCAGGACATATTGGCTCCAGACAAATGAATGGCATAACCACTATTGGATTAAAGGTAACCATTTTGTCCTACCTCCAATACCACTACAACCTCTTTTAAATGCCTGAATATAATTGTTTTTCATGAACCAACATCAATTCACAAACAAATCGAGCCCTTAACAGCTACATTCCACCAATTCTGAAGTTTGATAATGTTCAATTTACAACAGTAAAGATCTGTTGCTTAAAAGCGAGCACAGAAGTGAAAATCTATTATATACATGATGTTGACAGGATAACGGCATTTTGTTTTGATAACCTACAATCATACTGCAGGTAAGAAGGTGCAGCGTGGACCCTTCTCCCTACACACTAAGTTGGAACAGTCTATAACCGACTCTTTTATGGAAGTCATATATACTATTTTTATAATGGATAAACTATTATAAAAATTAGGCCTGACAAACAAGAGATGAATACGTTGTATTACTTATGAGCAGGGGCGTAGCGAGGGGGGGGGGGGGTGCGGTCCGCACCGGGTGACACCATTTAGGGGGGTGACACCAAGGCAAAAAATAGCAAAATATAGAGAGAAAAACTTGAGAGGGGGGGTGCAAATCGAAAGTTTGAAGAGGGGGGGTGCAAATTGAAAACTTGAGGGGGGGTGGATATCGAAAGTTTGAGGGGGGGTGCAAATCGAAAACTTGAAAGTTTGTCCCCGGAAAGGGTTGTAACCCCTCTGGGGGGGGGGGTGACACCATTGAGTGCCGCACCGGGTGACACCCGACCTCGCTACGCCACTGCTTATGAGTGTTGGATAAGCTAACTCTAAAGAATATTGATGAAGTGGTCCCACTAGCAGGTGTCATATTTGTCGGGACTCGTAATGACGGGGGCCGCTTTGTAGAGAAACTAAATGGCGGGAGCCTATTCGCCGGAAGTCGTAATGACGGGAGCCATTTTGTCGTAAAACTAAATGACGGGATCCATATATCGATGGTCCTTTTGACGGGGTCAATTTGACGGGGCTCTTATGTCGGGGCCGTTTTGTCGGGGTCCTATTGACGGGGCCGTTTTGTCATTGGCCGTTTTGACGACGCACGCTTGAAAGGCTAAAAAATACTTGCAGGGAATGAGATCGTGGACCAGCTGGCGAAATTTGAGGAAAGAAAAAACAACCAGAAATCTGGGTATATCCAAAACAAATCAAAATAATCATAAAAAACAATCACAAATGTGGCCTGACACACCACAAAAAAAAGATGACGGATATTACAAAGTGACACGCAAACAAAAACACATAATATTCAGACTCTGAACAGGCCATAACAGACTAAAACTGCACATGCATAAAAAAAACTAAAAGTTGGGTGTGGGGAAACTTGCCCATGTGGATGACCCGGGATAATAAAGAGCACGTCCTTCAGGACTGTTTATTATATAGCCAGGCGCGATCCAAACACTGGCCCCTATACACCCCACTCAAGGAAAAACTATATGGGGCACCCACGGATCTGGAAACCACAGTCCAGTTCATACACGAAGTTGAACTTGTATAAATCCTCCACCATAAACTAAATTAAGAAGAATAAGAAACCCATAAGTTTTGGTCATAAGTCTACATTGCTTTCAGTGTTTCTTCCAGACTTTTTTCTCTGGGGGGCACTTGCAATTTTCGGGGGGGGGGGGGGGGGGGTAGACTTTTTTCGGGGGGCGGGCACTGTTAAAAGTATATATTTTCTATATAAATGATATAAATTACATTTCGTTCGGGGGAGGGGGGGGTGCGGTAGAATTTTTTTTTTGGGGGGGGGGCTTTTTATATATATATATATATATATATATATATATATATATATATATATATATATATATATATATATATATATATATATATATATATATATATAAGCTTAAATATAATTGTGTTTTTTTCCAGATAAGTGTCAAGTTAATCGAAAATGGTTCTACATTTTATTGATTTCATTGCAATTATTTTACTTATAATCAGAGGTTGGTATTAACCTTTATATAAGGAACAAAAAAAAAGATTGGCATTAAAATTGTATTTAAAAAATCTGTTCTGCAGAAATAGAAATTGAATATTTTACAGCATGTAAACACATTATGTTGTAAAAAAAACACTAAATTTGCTTTTCTGCAACAGCCTTTTTGCAAAAACGTTTTCATTCCTACTATTTGAAATGTTTATAACTGAATGAAATTAAAAAAAAAAAAACTACCACCTTAGTACACTCTCATTACTATATTCTAATCACTCTAAACAAAAAAAAAAGACTTTTTTTCGCTTTTTTAAAAATTAATAGTAAAATCTATTACTGTTTGTGACAGAGAAAATCTATATCAACTTGATGCTTTTATAATTAATACTTAATTTACTCGTTTAATTCCCATATATCTAATATTTTGTTGTTTTTTTTTAATTTGGATATTAATTAAAACAAAAACTACTTAAATATTCGAACAACTATTGACACGTTGCCCTTGTTTGTTATGAATTTGTGAACATATTCATTTTGTTGTAGTTAAACGTTCATGTTTTCAATACCTAATTTAACATAGACTCTAACTGTAAAAACGATGTTTTATCTAGGCGTACAGTCATGCCCACCAGCACAAGTAGGACAGCCGTATGAGACACATTTCAAAGTATATTCTATAGAAAAAAAGTGTATTTTAAAGAAAAACAACGAAGTGCTGTATGAATGTGATTTATCTAAGGACTGCACAAGCCAGCTTCCAATTAATTCAGTTAATCTTACCTTCCTAAAACTTCCTACCTTTGCATTTTTTAAGTTCCACATTGGAAATGTTACAGAAAAGAATATTGAAGGAAAATACTCACTGGAAATTCTTGATTTTGGTAAAACAGACAAAGTTATCGGTTTTTGTGACTTAAAAGTCTTTGGTAAGATTTATCACTACTCTTATACTAATATGCTTTATGTATGTTTTAATTTAAATCGGCCTTAGCTAATATTCTAAGCCGTAGATTAATTATCAACAACAGTGCACCCATATCATTTATTTGCATTACCCATCTTTTAAATATAAAAGCCTCATATAGATCACACAAATCTAGAAATTTAAGTCTGTGAACTATTTTTGTTATCACATTTTAGATTCTTTGAGTGTATTTTTTAAATATCAAAAACACATGTGGTAAAAGTCTTTTTTGTTTTCAGCAAAAATCAATGCACAATGTTCTACAGAATTCTTACCCAACGGACTAAAAATTACATGTAAAGTACAAGGGGCGTATCCGGAAACTGTGGTAAAATTCATTATAAATTTACTAGTCAAATAGATTTCTATCATAAAATTAAGTTTCTAAAAAGTTTCTGATGGTCACCATTGAATGTTTTATCGGCAGATGGAAGTGAAGATAAATGATAGAACCTTCCATGGTGAATGCTACTTCTACAGATCCGAATATTTCTACTTTAATTCCACATGCTCTTACACAATTTCAAGACATTACATTTTTCAAGGAAACAATGATTTTACGATAGTACTCTACCCAAATATTTCTGGAAACCACAGTGCTAAAAGATACGAACAAGAAATCCATTTTAAAAACGGTATTCTTGATGTAATATTTAATGTACATTTTATCAAGAAAGACATTACTCTAATTTTTTTCTATGATGATCTCACAAAAATCTCAATGCTTCATTCAAAGCATTTTAAAACACTAATTCTATTAAAATGTAATTTTTAATCAATAATTTACTTTAACTATTTTCATTTCTTAAAAATACCAGAAAAGCCAATAATTTCAACAAAAACCTGTAACAAACAAACCTCTGATGGAGTAAACCTACTTTTGTGTGAATACCAAAGGCATGATCAAAGTAATGTCACAACAGTTATTGAGTCCAACGTAAAAGTGTTGTACCAAAATAAAACTCACGTTAAATTAGAAATGTCTCAAAATATAAAAGGTAAAACTTTTAACTAATACATTTCTGGGCATTATAAGGTCTTTTAAATTTTTTACTATACTAGATGGTCGGAAGGAATGGTTTAGAATTCGTGTCGAATAATGGGGGAGGGGGATTGGGTGTCTTCACACTTTCATTGCAAACAGCTAAGTTTTAAGGGAGTTGGCTCCGGAATAAATGGGTAAGAAACTTCTTAAATAATTAGCCTTTTTATTCATTTGTTTATGTGAAAGTTAGGGTACTTAAGGGGAAATATTTCCATGTATTATGGCTTCTTATGCATATATGGTTGCCATGGCAACGGCGCCCATCTTGAAAAAAATTAGCTTTTTTGGAGTTCTAAAATTTAATAATTTCAAGACATTATATTATTCAAGGAAACAATGATTTAACGATAGTACTCTACCCAAAAGATATGAACAAGAAATGCATTTTAAAAACGGTATTCTTGATGTAATATATTAATGTACATTTTATTCAGAAGGACGTTACTCTAATGCTTCAAATTTGGCAGGATCCTGCCTGGAGGCAATAGAATACAGTCGGCCGCAAAGGCCATGGAGAGGTCGTCAAAACTGACCTCGACTGACCGGGGCCTTATATGGGCTTTATTGCGAAAAAAACTTTTTGCCGAACGACCAACCTTGATATTCTGTGAGGTGGTAGGTGAACGCCAAGGGGTGTCATAAAAAATAGCCACATCCGGGAAAAATCTGCAAAGTGGTCAAAACTGACCAATCGAATTTCCGTATATAATCTTTGTAATTTATGGGAACAACAGAGGGTAATTTCAACTCAGATTTTAGGGCACTTACCGTCTGTACATCTAGCTAATCTAGGTAAATGGCTAGGCCGTATGGAAAAATTGTCGGTTCGACTCAAAGCCCTCCACGGGGGCTAAACAATGACCGCGATTGAAATTCTTCTTACATGATATATATATATATATATATATATATATATATATATATATATATATATATATATATATATATATATATATATATATATATATATATATATATATAAATTGACGAACGATCCCCCATAATAATTTGTGAGGTCGTAGACCGACCCTGGAGGGTAACAAATTATTATTATTCCCGTCAGAAAAACCCCTTAGATTTGTCCAGATGCCATATTTTTTTATATAAGCAATAACGTCATTTAGTACATGTACAGGGGAAGTAACTTTTTAAAGTAATAATTTTTAAACAATTATTTTACTATTTTAAAGAAAAACAAAAATCACAAAGTACAGAATTCGTTTAAATACATATTTTGTTATGAATTAAGTTAAGAATTGTACTGAATTAATTGCCAAAGTAAATTTAATATAATGTGTGATTTATACTATTAAGGAAGCCCTTGCATTTCTAATAACCTTGCGAGTTATAAGTTTGGGAATAATCCACACATTTTGGCATAGCATAACATTACTCAGACAAAGGCCCTAATCACTCTACATAACAGACAATCACCACCCCTTTTACTGTCATCCTTTGCAATTTTTTATAATCAAATACATGACATCATGTAAAAATTCATTATGTACATTTGCAAAACCTTTCGTTTTCATTTCGTGTTCAAAATTATGTTAAAAAATTTGATCACCAACTAATTAATCAGTCAAATTCTCAAAAGTTTACTTAAAACCTAAGCGAAGCTAGGCAATATATATATATATATATATATATATATATATATATATATATATATATATATATATACATATATGTATACATTTATATAAATACATTTATTTATATATATATATATATATATATATATATATATATATATATATATATATATATATATATACTTTTTTACGCGGGGGACGGGTGACATCATTAAGTGTCGCACGGGGTGACACCCGACCTCGCTACGCCGCTGATTTAAACAATTTCAATTTTTTTCAGATATCAAAATCTGGGCACGTAATATATTTGGTGTCGAAAGTGATATTGAAAAGCCTCCTATTACAACAAACGGTATGATAAATGAATATTTAATATTAATTATTTAGTAATATTTATTAATATTTAATATTACTGTAGTTAATCCTTTATTACATACTTAACTCACACGTCCAGTAAAATAGTATGCCTCTCTGTTTTAATGTTTGTTCGACTATAGTTTGTTATCATCAATAATAATAGTTTCGCTATCTATCTATCTATCTATCTATCTGACAAGAACGCTATAGAGAAAACACAAGCAAAATATAAACTTTCATAGTAAAACGAAACGTGACGTCACATGGAGCATAGAAAATAGTCTAAAGCCGGCTATAGAGAAAACAAAGCACAATAAAAACTAGCACAGTAAAACGAAAACGAAAGATGACGTGGAGCATATAGAAGAAATAGTCTAAAGCCGGGGGAGTGCACCCAACTATATGACGTCATTGATTTTGGAGTAAACATTGAATTAAAAAGCCAATGTTGTCTAATCTTAAAGGTGGTTTGCGTGAAGAGTTACTTTCATACAATTTTCCGGGTAGGGGCGAAGCCCCACCCCCGCGTAAGAACGTCTAAGCTGCCATCTACCCCAAAGTAAAAAATAAATGTCTTCAGTAATACTCTATAATAAAATTACCGCCTAATTCATGTGTCTAATTCATGTGTCTAATCTAAAAAGTGGTTTGATTGCAGAGATTGGGGGGGGGGGGGGATCAAGTAGAGTCGCCTAAAAGAAACTCTAAATGCGACTTTTGTCATGATTGAGATTAGTTGTAAGATTTAGGAGTATGGCTACAACTATGTTTAGTATCAATGTGCAGTAACTACGTGGAGATCAAGAATAAATCCGATTAAAGTACCGATTCTGGATAAAAATCCGTTTTTAATGTCATTTTTCGTTTCCGGTTAAATTGAAATAAGGTTGTGATTTTGGTTTTGGTTTTAGTTTAGAGAAAATAGACAGCACTATCAACCAAGCGCCATTTTTCTCGTTTAATAAAATAATTGTTATTTGGGTGTTCGTCATTGAAACATTGCTAGATTAGGGAGGTAGGATTTTCTAGATGCATGTTTTATCAGTTAATTTCGTAATAGTTTAATTTAGATTTGTGCTTTGATTTAAATTATTAAATAAAATATGTGTGCTATTGCAATATGTATCTTTATGTCGGACTGTATGGTTAAACAATATAATAAATTGTCTATATTCTAAAATTTTAATTATGGTCTAAAACTGTTTCAAACTTTTAAGAAAAAATGTTTTTTTTAAAGATGAATACACGAGTTCAACTTCACAAAAACAGAATGAAGAACCAATGGATAGAGTAAAAATAATAATATTATGTTGCGCTTTAACAGTCATAGGCCTACTATTATTTCTATTGATTAAAAAAACAGGTATGCACAATTTTATTTTTCAACATGTTTTTTATTTTTACTTTGTATAGGCAGTGGCGGCGCGAGGTCGGGTGTCAACCCCCGTCTCGAAACCTCCAAACTATTTTGTGTACATGCATGTTTTTGTGTGTAAATTCCACTTTAAAAATCTTAATATAAGAAAAGATATAAATAAATAAATAAGGAATATGTTACGTATAAATTGTCTAGGTGTGACTTGTATCAAAACAGCAGACTTTTGAACAATTATATTTTAATTAAACGTTAGCCTTTCTGATTTTTAAACTTTCAAAATTATCAATAACGTGGTCAAAATCAATATCTTTTAACGTAACATTTTCGATTGACACGATTGAATCCGAAAGCGTTGAATGCCCTATTGCGGATCTGAGGTAGACCTACTTATTAAAACAAATAGTTTTAACTTCGTAAAAATCCGTTCACGTGATGTAACAGACACACATTGTGTTAAGAATAGCTGAAGACCGAGTGAGACAATTGGGAGTGATTTTTAAAAAGCCATTAAACAATGAATTTAAGGAAGTCAAACGCTGACCAGTCCCAGAGGCGTAGCTAGGGCGGACCCCACCTGTTGACACCATTTTACTTATTTATGGGGTGACATCAAGGCAAAAAATTGCAAAATGTACAGAAGAAAAATGCTTTTTGCCTTTGCATTTAAGGATAATTAAAGTAAAATAGTCTTAAATACGTTTCAGCATACACAGCATACGCGTATGCGGCATATATTTAAATTATACGCCTATGTAGGCCGAAACAGACACAGATATTTATTCATTTATTTTCATATATATATATATATATATATATATATATATATATATATATATATATATATATATATATATATATATATATATATATATATATATATATATATATATGGTGAACTATCAGAGAGTAAATTTTCAAGGAAGAGCCACGATCAAGAAGACTAATCAAAGCAGCAGATATATGTGTAGATAAAGGAGAGGACTGGTCAGTGGCGTCGCTAGGTCGGGTATCGACCGGTACGGCACTTAGTGGTGTCACCCCCTCCCCCAAGTCTCTCTCTCTTTCCTTATATATATATATATATATATATATATATATATATATATATATATATATATATATATATATATATATATATATATATATATATTGGCTATATATATTTATATATTGGCTATATATAGCCAATACATTTTAGTATCGATCTCTTGTTTTATCTTTTAGAATTAGATTTGATCGTTCACTTTCTCTACAAGTTAAATAAAGATTTTAAAAGCAGAAAGTATACTGGAAAAAAAATCAAGTCTACCTACGGAAGTGTGACTTGTTTAGTCCAACAGTACACTAAGATCTTTATTTTTGTTTCAGTTCATTGTTTGTATCGTAAGAGAGGCCAGACTAAATCAGATGAAGAAGTACAAGATACACTATTACCGAAGAAAGGTATGAAAATTAATATTGGGCCAATTGTTGCATTAATCTTTACATAAACATTTTTTTTCTAAAAAAAAAATTTTTTGTTAAAAATCTATTGACCCATTCTTATGTATCGTTATTTAATTAATTATATCTCCATAAAACAAAACGAGATTGAGCTCCCATTAACTATAAACGTTATTATTCATTAGTAAGTGTTGGGTGGGCATTTCCATTAAAACTGACGAATAGAAATCGTGTTAACTTTTCTAGACAAAATATGAAGGCGAATAGTTTTTAGAATACGTGGTTTTATGAGAATATGATATACATTTATCAAATTCTGTAGGCTTTTTGCGATACGAAAATGGAGTAAGGAATTACTTCCTAGTAACAAAAATAGCTCAAAAGGAAATAGAAACCGATGTTTAGTATCTAATACTTATAAAAAAAGTGATGTAACCTAATTGAAACGGTACCTATTTTGTTCACACGCATTGATATACACACACAGACACAAAGACATATACTCATAGAGAAAGGATTTCAGAACTGGGTGTTTTTTCTACTCAGATAGGCCTAAGTGTATAACCTCGATTTCAGTTTTGTTGCCATGATTATAATACTTTCCCTACATAGCGTATGTAAGAAAGTAAAGATTCGAAAAAAACAACTTTTTAAAACACTCGACAAATAAGCAAATGCAATAAAAACAATTTTTAAAGATAAGAAATTTTTAAAATATTTTGCAACGCACGCTTACTTAAAATTTATTGTAAACAAATTAGGGTCAACAAGCATTTATAATTACAACATCATGATTAATTCAAATATTTTTAGATAAGATAAACGCTGTTCAAGAATCATCATTTGAAGAAATAAATAACCAACCGGAAACAGCCTCTAAACCGGAAACTACAAGCGAAGTGGGCAACTCAAAGTTAGTTTCCAACGTAAATATCAGTGTAACAGACGATCAAGAATTAGGTTCCCGTGGGCTGACAACATCAAAATTACATACATACGTCACTGGCTGTAAGAAGAATCCAGGTCACAAAGGTTTTATACCACTTAAAGATTTCAACGCAAGTTGTCTCCCCTCGCGTTACCATGACGACGAGCTAATGTCTGAGACAATCAAAACATTGGCAGCCCTAACTGTCCAGGTAAAGACTAAATTCACCAGTCTAGAGAGACCAGAGTTTTGCCCAGGCACTCAAGTTCCATATCCAGGTTATAATGACAGAGGAAGACACGTGATGAGGGTAGGGACGGGGAGGGTTTATCGTGTGGACAAGTACACAGATAGTATTAGAACTTGTCGTTGTGCCAAGTGTCAAGTCTCTGCCACACCCAGCAAAGTATGGGGGGAGGTTAAAGTGTTGACAGCCACACAAGTGGTGTTTGATGCCAGTGAGGCGAGACAGGCCAGTTGTGTTTTAGGTTTTGATGACAATAAAAGCCGAGTGGTCAGTCTTGATGGATGGAAGGTGTTGGATAGGGCAGACATTGAGGGAGACACGTGTGTGTTGAATTATGAGACATGTGACTTAGAGTTGGTTAATGAACTGGACAAGTTGTGTCGGCTCTTTGATGATCTATGTAGGGAAGTAGAGGACAAATACAGGAGATTTGTTGATGTGGACAAGTTGACCGTTATAGTGTCACATCCTCATGGCTGTCCTAAACAGGTGTCTCTTGGACAATGGACACACAAACATAAGAGAGATGGCGAGTACACCAGGTACTGGTACACAACATGTACATGTCCTGGAAGTGCTGGAGCTTATGTGTACAGAGTAGGCTGTAACCCACGTATTAGTGGCCTCGTACACAGTGGATCTAACTCTGAGGGCAATTACAGTGGGGAGAGCTTTGATTTTTAAAATAGACATACAAGTAAAAACTCTAAAAATCCCAATTAATTTTCATTTTGAAATTAGTATATATCTTAACAGAGTTATGTATATCAATACACTCAAATATGTGGGTTTTTTTGTCCTTTATCTATTGCAGTATTTATTTGAATTCCAAATATGTAATAAGATTATCCTAATTCAACACACATCAAAGAGGCTATTTTGTCTTGTTTCCTACACAATTAGTAATTCAAATATACACAAGTAGACCTATACATCAATACTGTTTTTAAAATAAAATAAATATTTTTCTTGAGAACGATTAGGGGGAGTTAACTACTTAAGTCAAACCTGCGTTTGCTGTAAAAAATGTATACAATAAAATAACTTCACGTTACTAAGAAGGATAAGGCTTATGTTAACACTGTGTTGGTTGTTGGTTGTTTGAAGTTGTTTTTCCTAAACTAAATGTGTAGTTAGTGAGAGGCTTGTACTGTTCAGTTACTTGCATTTTTATTTATTTCCTATATTTTTAAATTTCTTATTTATTTCAAATGAGAAACATGAATGGTTAATTTATAACATAGAATAAATAATATAAAGCCATTATTTAGTATTTAATACAATAATATTTATAAAATACATCAATAAATGCATTTTGAGTATCTTAAACCGTGTGTATTATTTATTTGTGTCTACGAAAGTTGCTTGTAACAATAGTCATCTTCAAGTCCAAGAACCCAATAATTTTGAATTTGTATGTTATGTAACTTATATTGTTGATTAAATGTATCATTATTTTTTAAGACATTAATTAAGAAATTTAACAGTAATATTTTTATAGTAATATTTCTAATGTATGTGCCCTCAATCAATACAGCTGAGATAATAAACACAAACTGTTATGAATGTATTTGTATTCAGATATTTCTTTCTACTACGTTTACTCACATAATTAATGGCCGTTTGTAATATCCTCCTCATTTATCCTTTATCTGTGACAACGTTCCCTTTTTTGCCTGTACACAATTGAGCACATATTGACAGTTCAAATGGTATTTAAAATAAACAACTTTAAAAAATGAAATAATATTTATTCATATAAAAACGTACACATGTTTCCCCAGAAAAATAAAATTAGTAATCAAATTATATAACTATAGGACTATCCAATCCATTTTAGAAGCTGTTAACTTTTCGTTGTCTATTTTTATCGTCATGACCAGTTCAGAATGTCTTCAACGCGGCAAACTCCGACTAACTGGCTTGGATATCGACTTGATTAGCATGTACCGGTCGCTTTTGTCCGTTTGTTCACATCAGGCTTATCTTCCACCCGGGCGCCAGAGACAAACTTTCAATTTGCCCCCCCCCCCCCTATATATTTTTTGTTTATAATTCAAAACTGCAGCTAAAATAAGCTTTTAATTTTTTTCATCCCGTTTTGGCGCCCTAGGGTAGGTGCCCGGGGACATATGCACCCACCCCCCCCCCTTCGCTACGCCTGTGCTAGTACCCCACAGTCCAGTACCCGGCTCAACAGTAGGAAGCTTATTACCAAAAAAAATACTTCACTCAGGTCAAACTAATGCATACTGGAAGACAGGGAAATGCATTCTAAATAAAATATTAGTCTCCATTTAACGATATTCGAAAAAGTCGGCACTTCGGCAGTGGCAAGCATAGAATAGTCGTCACGGGGATGGCTGTATGAGCTGGAGAGCCGCATCTTGGTGTGAGCGGCTGGAGTGTATTATTATTATTTGTAACTTAGAAGGCGAATGTATCGTTTCGTTTCACGTCGTAAATTTTTCGTAGTTTTTAGTTGTGTAGTCCCGTATTATGGCGCCGCTGTCTCACTGTTTATGTCCCTGTTTATAGCTAGTTTGTATATATTTCGTTTATATTGTTGTCATGGTTTATATTAAGTGTCTTTTTATATAATTCTGTTGCATGTTTTGTGGCGTTTGGTTTGTTATCCGTGAATTAGGGACTATTTGTTTACGTGTAGTGTGTGAGGTGTGTGAAAGTCGATTTCCGGCTTGTTGATTCTGTCTTTTTGGGTGCTGAAAGCGGTGAGATGAGAGCGAGGACGACTCTCTTGCCATCGATTATAAAGTACACCATCCAGTCATTATTATTTTGTGTATGTGTTCGTTACAGACCTGGTAAGTTAGAAACACATTTATTTTTACGTTGCTGTTTATTTTTCGTTGCTGGCCATAAGTTTTAAAATTCTTCTTTATCTCCTTAACTCTATTTTCTGACAGTAAAGATACAGGGCTTGGTGCTGAAAGCGGTGAGATGAGAGCGAGGACGACTCTCTTGCCATCGATTATAAAGTACACCATCCAGTCATTATTATTTTGTGTATGTGTTCGTTACAGACCTGGTAAGTTAGAAACACATTTATTTTTACGTTGCTGTTTATTTTTCGTTGCTGGCCATAAGTTTTAAAATTCTTCTTTATCTCCTTAACTCTATTTTCTGACAGTAAAGATACAGGGCTTGGTCTCCACAGGAGTTGGCAAAACTTCTCAAGAGGTTGTTTATGTTGAAGAATACCTTGGAAATTCCATAACCAATAACCATTGTCAACCTTATGACCCCACCAGCTAACTGCAGAAACAACATATCTGCCTGTCGGATCCCATTCCATATCAGTGGCCATAAAATGCTCTGTTTGAGTCATTACAGTCATGTCTTGAGTATCAACAAAATCCAAAACTCCATACATACTCCTTAGTCCAGCTAGAACTATGAATTGACCATTAGGACTCCAAAAAAGATGATTTGCCGACCTTTTCTCGAATGTTTTTATCAACTCTACTTTTTTTTTAGGTTGAATGTTATAAAAGGTTACATTTATACGTGGAGCCTCTCCATGAATATATGCAAATTTATTGCCAATGGGCTCCCAAGCAAACGCTAATACAGTTTCTTTCTCTTCTACTTTGTCCACTGGTATCTGCTTTTCTCTGATTCTGAACAACTCAAAATTGTAATAAATACCACTGCATTTTGTTTGTTCTTTGTCATCCGTTTTCTTACTCTTGTATCTATCAACTTTAACACAAAGATAATCACCACTCTTCTGCCAATGCATTTTACAGTCAGCAACATTGAATAAATTTCTAACACATAATTCTAATCTGCTGGGTATTTCTATCAATGTTACACGAGCAGGTGTGTTAGATTGTTCTGGCACCCAGTATGCGATGATGTCATCAGTTGGAGACCAGGAGAAATCCCTCACAGCTGGGATCTTTAAACTTTTTTTTCGAGAAGACCAAATGATGGAGTTTCATAAATACTAATAGCATCCTATCCAATCCTGGCAAAGTAGCTTCCATTAAAATTCCACTTGAATATTGGCCATGTGCTTCTGCTCTCACAATGAAAACCTCTCTTCTTGACACAAGAACGAATATCCCATATAATAATTGCCTGAGGATCTTCATGGCTATCGTGAAGAGGACTAAATATTACTAAATATTTTTCACATGGTGAGAAATCAATAAGCTGAACACCAGGATGGCTAAACCTCATTATTTGGCTGAACTTTGGACCTCCCCACAATGCTATACCCTTCACATGAAAGGTTGCAAGGTGTGTACCTTGAGGTGACCATCTGACATATGTTTCTGTCCACCGATCTCTCTCTTCCATTTTTGAGGGTTCTGGACTATTTACAAATATTGCAGTCTTATCACCTTCTCCATAAATGACACTAAACTGGTCAAAACACTCCTTGTTCTGCAACCAACTACGCAAATTTCCTAGATCTTGATATGGTTTTGGATCTGGGGGAGACCATTCATCAGGAATATTGATGTACTTTTCAAAATCAGAAAAATGGTTAACTTTAAAAGAATGTTGCTTATCCAGTTTGTACCCATTTGTCATCTTAACAGCTTCATATGCGTTTTGAGGAGATGAGAACTCCAAAAACATGTACCCCTTTCAGTAGCGTACGCAGGGGGGGGGGAGCAGGGGGAGCGGCCGCTCCCCCTCTGGCCATTTTCAGCAAAGTGGCGCCTTTTTGGAAACTTTTTAAACTCAAAGTTTTAAACAATGATATTTGTTAAAAAATTATTTTTTGTCGGCACATCTATGTAAATCACAAGATTTCTTTTCATGCGGCAATTAAAGCATTATTGTACTAGTCTAGTAGTGTCTACGTTTACAACACGTATTAACAGCTGCATCAGTTTGCCATTCTAAAAATAACCATTACGATGCATTGCAATATTTAAAAAACCTCTACGGGTAGTACCACTTGGCAAGAGGGGTTTTAAGTTTAAGGCAACTGTATAATGTATTTGCATACGAATAATTGTATTAGAAAATGATATACATAAAACTTCACACATAATTACTTTATACATACAGTTTTAATCTTGTGATTAATTTTAAAAAATGCAATACAGAAACAAATACAACTGATGTGGCACCTCTATTTAAATTTACTTATGAGCAAACTGCGTAGTGGTGTGGAAATTTTGACAAGGGCAACAATGTCATCACGATGAAGTAGTAGTATTCTTACAGTTTGGGCGATAGTGATTACGATTACAAATTATATGAAACAGTTACAACCCCCCTCCCCATGAACCCCTCTGTAAAACAAGTATTGTCATTATACCACTGCTACTTATTTAAATCTATTTCTGCAATATATATATTTGTGTAATATATATTTGTGTAATATATATGTATGTTTAGACCAGTCATCTAAAAACTGATGCTATGTTCACTCTGAGTTGGTTAACTCTTTCCCCCCCCCCTTTCCTCACCACCACAATTGTGTAGAGCTACATTAATGTCACACCTAGGTATACACTGGGTTGGATAATTGACCTAAATTGACCGGACAGTAAAAAGGTGTGTGAGCAATACAGAGATCTAACACATACCTATCACTATGTTAAAAAATGATCTTTAAAGAACACAAAAAAGCAGTAGTTAATTAAAAAAACATATGATCTGAACTAAAAGACCAACATTTAGTTAAATGTAGGCTGTTATTCCGAGTGTTTTTCTGTTTTAACGAAAAGCGCGGTTTTATACCAACTCTGATTTTAAAATCTTTCATTATGCTTTAATACTATAGCATTTATGATGACTATATATTAAATTCTGATTATAGACAAAAACATTTTGTAAACACGAATAGTGTTAAATAATTTCATTATATTCTAAAGTAATTATTTATTTGTTTTGAAATTTATAATTAAATGTGTAGATATGTACATATTTATATTAAGAGAGTGATTATTTCCCCTATTTCACTTATCTTAAATAATTTCCCAGGAATTATTATGTAAGAATTTTTTTTTACAAGAATTACAAAACAGATTGTGTTACGTTCGTTGTTTTTGGTTGTAGTGTGTGTATATTTTTTGTCTAGATTGATACAATGTTTGTTTTGTCGGCCTACATTGTGTGTTTGTTCTTATTTCTTCAGAGTGCTACTTTCAATTTATTTTACATCACAGCGAAGTAATGACATACAGCTAGTAATGACATACTAGTAATTATATATATATATATATATATATATATATATATATATATATATATATATATATATATATATATATATATATATATATATATATATATATATATATATATATTATACACGTATATAGAACGTGTTAAAAATTCGACGCCTTTTTTGCTCTTTTCGCTCCCCCTACAACGAAAACCTGGATACGCCTCTGACCCCTTTGTTTTTCCTTCATCATCGAGTGGATAAAATGCATTGACCACAGCACCAAATTTAGAAAATAACTTCTTAATAACATTTTTTAGTTTATCAAGACGCTCCTTTCCAACTTTTGGAATACAGTCAACAATTATTACTGAATCAACACTGTCAGAAGGCTTAGGTCGTTTGCGCAGAACATCACCTAAAAGCTCTTCATCTGTATTTTTGGTTGCTAGCCATAAGTTTTTTTCTGTGGCTGTTTTCTGACCGCCATTGTGGTTTTGTCAGACCATGTGGAATCAGATTCTGAGTTTTTTTATATTATTATGTTTATGGTTATTTTGTTACTTTGTTGCATCCCTTGGGCTGGTGTTAAGCCAGGGATAAAGTTATTTTAGACTTGACCCGCAGCTATGGTTTACTCCTGGCTGTTGGGTTAAGTAGAGGAGTTTTTGTTACTTGACCCACAGTTACGGTTCATTCCTGACTGTCGGGTTTGGTTATGTACTTGTAGCTGTAGGCTGGTTATAATATTTGTATGCCATTATAGTGAACTTTGGCTTCCTGTGGTGATCTTTGTTGATCCCCAGGAGAGTGTTTGGTTCATTCTAAGTCACTGTGGATGTGTCCATGTTATTAATAGATTTTATTTTACATGAGCCTTTTGTTAGGCTGGTAACTGTGTTGAGCTAGTAGTTTAGAGCTCAGTGTCCTGGTAGTGTTCCAGGTAATTTTTAAAGTATGTTCTTTGTAAACTACCTGCAGGCTGTTGAGATGGAATCCAGCCAGCCTGTGGTTAATGCTTTGTATATAACTTTTTTTTGTAAAGTAATTAATTTATTTGTTTTCCTTTTTCTTGGACGTAGTCCGAAATTGGGTGTTTGGTTTTGTTTGGTTCTGTTTTGTGGCACATAGCGTTTGCCCTGTTGTGTTGGATATAAATTGTTTTGTCTGTTTTGTGTCAGTAGTTTTTATCTATTTTTTTGTAATTTTTCATTGGTTCCATATTTTTGGTAAATAAATTTTATTAATTGTTAAAGATTTTTTTGTTTTTATTATATAGACTAAGGTTAGGTTATTAACCAGTCTGGGTTTAGCCGGGCTTGCACTGACCGGACGGTAATAGATAAGCCTAGAAGGGTAGATTTTAGGTATCCCCCCCCCCCTAGCAGGGCTTACATTGACATCAAAAGAGCGGTAGGTTGCCGACCCCTGCTCTAAAGCAACGATTATGGTGTGTTTTAAGAGTATACGTTTTGTAGCTACCATGACGCCTGATCCTCACAAGTCGTAAATTCTAAACCATTAAACATTTAGAAAATGCATCTTACTTTACATAAAGCCCAATTAATTATGAAATCTTTGAAGTTTTTTATGGCTATTCATTTTGGGGTAAAATATATATTTCCAGTTATTAAATGCTATTGTAAATTAATAGAAAACGTTACCTTGCTAACTCAAAGGCGTTTTTTTCTCAAGGTAAAACCCATTAAATCGATAAGAGCTACATGCTTCTACACTATAAGGCAATGAGAAAAAAATCAAGCACATAGACTCTACTTCATTTCCCGTAGACACGGAATTGTATTTATTGTTCAATATTAATTTTACTTTTTGTAATATTAAATTTACTTTGCACTCGTCCAATGCATTTTAAATTTAACAAGAGTATCTAGTTCTACTATTTAACTTATATATATATATATACTTGGGGGAGGGGGTGACACCACTAAGTGCCGTACCGGTCGATACCCGACCTAGCGACGCCACTGACCAGTCCTCTCCTTTATCTACACATATATCTGCTGCTTTGATTAGTCTTCTTGATCGTGGCTCTTCCTTTAAATTTACTCTCTGATAGTTCACCATATATATATATATATATATATATATATATATATATATATATATATATATATATATATATAACTATAATAAAATCCCCCCCCCCCCACATTCATCATCGTTGATCAAATTATTTGATATCAAATTTTCACCCATTTCCTCTGAACCTTGTTATACAGTTTTCTGACTCCCTTAATAATGCATTGTGAAATTAGCGTTTTAATATTTAGGCTTAGTCCTATATTTATGTTTAACTTTAAATAAACGGCAGTGAAAAAAACGGTCTATGAAATTGAAACGAAAAGTAAGCGCTCGAGTGGATGAATGGAATTTCGGGAGAAAAAATACAACCCATGTAATAACTTATTTTTAAAATCGAAAACATACTTTCGATTAGTATGCTAATGAAATTTTTACGCACAAATAAAAGGCATTAGAAAAATAAGAGTAGACCTATTGTTAGATTCCCAAAATGTTATATAGAACAGACCTAAATATTACAAATATAGCCTTGCAAAACATACACGGATTTAAATTGTTGCGTAACTAGCTAAAATATTGAAGTGACTAATGTTGATAATAACACCCCATGCGGATCATCTCTCCACAATTAGGAAAGCATAAACTGAAGACAAGATTCCAGCCATTTTGTTTTGACGAGAGCTAGTAGTCCAGATCTAGATGATGCGAACTGATGCGAACCTACGTAAATCTACAAGATCTAGATTTACATTTAGATCCAGAAATCTACATTATTGACTAGAGAGAAAAAGTATGCCTCATAAGTAAATGATAGATCTAGATAGCCCTAGATCTAGAATCTAGTAATTTTTCAGTAGCACTAGATTCGGTAATCTATCGTTTTAGGTACGTAAAATCGCCGGTGACTAGTAATGTGAAAAACAGGTGACTCCTTACATTTTGATAATTATTTCACATTTTGGGGAGGATTTATGTTTTGAAAAATATAGAAATGTTTCCTTGTTTCATTTATGTACCTGTTTTTAAACAATTGAATTAAAACTTTTCCGTAATAAATGAACACCAGCGATGTTTCCAACAGATGCAACCATGCTCATTTACTATTGCAGCCATCTTGTTAAAGTTTTATTTTTATAGACTTACTAGACTACCCGTCATCCGTTGGATAACTGTGGGTTTCGGGGTCATCCATAAAAAAAGCATCACGTCTGTCACTTATCGTCACAAAAAAACAGACCCCACATTCAAAAAGATGTTTTTTATCTTTTAAAAACACCGAAAACAACGATTTCGGACTATCCCTTCATAAACTATTGTCACAGGTGACTTACTCAACCCTACTTCACCTGCCCAGTGTCCCGCCAAGTCTCAGACAACATCTTTTTACCGTTTAAGAAAACGATTCCAGACGAGCATGTCTCTGACCACACTATCCCTTCATATGCTAAGGACAAACAAACAGGTGAACTCGACTTCACCTGCCCTGTGCCCCGCGAGGTCCTGATAGTCAACCTTATCATTCACATGTAGGCCTTAGAAAAAATAATTGAAAACATTGTTGTACAAAGAAAAAATTCTTATTACTAAAGTCATTGTTTTAAACTTTTATAATAATGTGGTTAATTTACCCATGAATATATCAATAAATTAGTTAACGGCTTTAAATTAGTTTGTAATTAACAGTGTTTTTAAGAAGGAACAATATTTACCACCCAAAATACCATTTTACAGCTCTACGCATAATGAAGATTCTCCCCAATAACAAATCAGAAAAACAAACAAACACAAAAATGAGTTATCAAACATCACTATTTAGCCAAAATTAAGCCATTGTTCTAAAACTTTAAAACAAATGTGGTTAATCTACCTATGAATAAATCAATAAATTAATTAACTTCTTTAAATAAATGTGTGACTAACAGTCTGTCTGCAATAAAAAATTATTCTCTACCTACATACTATTTTACAGCTCTCCAGATAGAGTAGATCCATATACAATAGTAAATCAGATAAATAAATATTCATGTAAACAAACTTGAGTTTTAGTAGTATAATAGAAGATAGATAGATATCAGCCCAAATTTTAAAGAAGAAGTAGGTGAAATTACAATAGCTTTGTGTTTGTCTGTAATTATAGATTCAACTATTGACATTATTGACAGATCAATTTTCTTTGTCTATCAGATGTTACTGAACATGTAGACGCCATTGAAAGTTGTATTCAATTTTGTGAGCTTCCTGAAGCTAGTGCAGAGGATTTTTTTCAAAACACTTCTTACAGCAGTCACATATTAGGGCTATCAATGACCATGTGCTATGGTCAGTCCTTCGATGGATCAAACACCATGTCTGGTGAAATATCAGGCCTACAAAAACGAGTTAGAGAAAAGCTCCACGTGCACTCTTTACACACTGCTGTGCTCATAATTTAAATTTAATTCTCATATATGGTGTTTCATCTAATATTCAAACACAACTATTTTTTGGAGATCTGGAAAGCATTTATACATTTTCTACCGGAAGTCTACCTTTGGTCTTATTCCTATTTGGGAGATGTTAGCTGATGTCATTAGCGCTAACAGAACTCACGTTGCTATGATAGATTGCGAACAAGCAACTCTCGTTTGCAAGCACCAGGAAATAAAAGAATACCCTACGCTCTGGCTTTTCGCGATGTACTGGAAAACTGGAAGATTTCAAGGATCACGGAACATTGAAGCGCTGACACAATTCGTTGCAGAAAAATCTACAGACGAACCGGAATTGTTTGTTAAAGAACTAACGGCTGAGACTTTTCAAACTGAATTATCAACTGGTTTAGTGTTCGTGAAGTTCTACGCCCCTTGGTGTGGCAACTGTAAACGTTTCGCCCCGACCTGGGCCACCTTAAGCCGGGAGCTACACGGCCACCCAGTGAGTATAGCCAGGTTGGACTGCAGCCAGTTCAAGAGTTTGTGTGAGCAGTATGAGATTACCAAGTATCCAACCCTGAAAATATTTCGCTATGGCGACCTGGTGGCCTCGTATAATGGAGGAAGGACGTTGGTGGATCTGCAGAACTTTGTTGAGAAACACACGGAGCTGTGAGGAGAAAAATAGACATCTCGTCATCCTAGAATTACAAGGTTCACTCTGGTCAAATAAAAAGTAAATTTTAGAATTACAATGTTTACTCTGGTTAAATGAAATGTAAATTTTAGCAAATCTGCTTCCACTACTGTAAAAATAGCTTAATTTTTTTTTATTAATGCATATATATTAGGTTTTAAAATATTTTTGAAATCCATAGGTAGTTTGGTTTAACGATAATTGATAATAAGCTAAATGTACTAAATTTTGATTTCAATGAAATTTTAAGGGTCTGAATTACAATTAATGTGATTGAACATTTTAATGCTCCTTTCCTTTTGTTATGAACTACATTTTTTGAAGAAAAATATGTGACCTAAATGCCAATCGTATAGCATTATTACAAATATTTTTAAAATCTATTAAGTATTCTGAATATTTTTATACTGAAAATAAAACAGCAAAATAAGAAATAACAATGATATATAGTATTGCTAGGGGTCATCTATAAATGACGTCACGCTTTTTTTGACAATTTTTGCCTCCCCCCACCCCTCCGTCACACGTCGTCACAAAAAGCCAGACCCCCCCCCCTAAAATTACGTCACACCTCACCCTACAACCCCCATTAAAATTTTTTCCAAAATCTTGTCTGAACTTTGTCAAAATAGAGTATTTTAATCAATTCCTATTACAATTTATTAAAACAGTTTTCTAAAACGCAAAATAACGTCTAAAATTCGTTTTCCAACATTGATTTTTTATAATGCAAACGTGTGACGTCGCGCCATCTGAACCCATCCCCCATCTCCCCCTCATCACACACCGTTACAAAATTACGGACCCCCCTCCCCCATACGAGTGTGACGTCAGTTATGGACGAAAATTAAATTCTTGTATAGGGTTTTTTTTTTCTTAAAGCAGAAAAGCTTTCGTTATAATTATGTTGGCAAAAATATATTAAAGCTGATCTGGCAACTGAGAAAGCTAAATGTACTAGCTTTTAGTTTCGAAGAAACTGAGGAACTGAGGAAAAATACGAGGATCAGTGAATGCTTAATGTAGAACATTTTTTTTATTCTCGAGCCTCGGTTACTAGTATAGATAAGTGCGCTTTTTTTTTTTTTTGGAATGCAATCAGTGACGTTAAGAGCTTGTAAAATGTAAATGGTTGATTTTGCAGTTGGAATATTAAAACACTAAATGCAATATCTCTGTTTTATGTCGCTGAAAATTTGGAATATGGCAACATAAGTAAACAGAAGTAAAACATTAATTGGACATTTTGGAAGAAAGATTACGATAAAACTAGCCGAAACATTTTTTTTTCAGATTGATTTAAAGATTTCAATGAAATTAACCAATTCTTGAGTAAAGATGACAATAATATAACGTCGATATCATCATCTTTTCCTGTTCGTGCCTAAGACACATAAAGCGGATGAAGCAGGGTCCATCTGATTCAATTACCAAGTCATACAAGGGGATAATTAATCAGCACTCATCTCAGCAGTCTTTTTTGTCAGGTATTCGTCAGATCTGGTTGTTCTCCGGTAGTCCCTCAGACTAGAGCCTGGAACTTGGGTCTCTCGGGTTAGCAGTCATAGGCACTACTCCCCGACCACACCGGCTCCGTAACGTCTATATATTTGTGAGGAAATGCTCCTGAACCATGGTTGGTTAAGTTTAACTTCTCAAACGTATGAAGAAACGAATATGAGCCAACTATGACGGTAAAGAACTACAGAGATGCTCACCAGTGTTCTTCTTTTGATTCGATGTGAGGTCAGTATAGGGGTCAGAGATAAATGACGTCACGCTTTTTAAAAAAAGAAATTTACCCCCTTCCAACCCAATCATGTTCACATATCCGAAAAATCCTTCAAGTTGGTCACTCGAAAGTGGAGAGTTGGACGTAGATATGGGAGCAATTGTTAGTGCAGTCGGTTAATTTAAGTGATAGAAAGCAATTGAATACAGATAGTGTTAGGATAAGGAGATAAGTTGAGTTGGACTTTCAGATTAGTTAAGGTATAGTTGAGATAATAGAAGTAGAATATAGGACAGAGGAGTCAGGTAGTCGGGATTATTTAAAGATGGATTGTATATGTGTATATAATAAATATATAAACTTGAACTCTGTTTATTGTGTTATTTATATACATATTTCCCACTGGAGAATTCTGTACAGGATTCACAATAGGTCGATGCTCCCCCATATACATCATCTCTCTCCCGCACCACGCCGCCCTTTTTCCACATGAAACGTGTGTAACATTTAAATCATCGGTCTACGGCAAGTGTCCATTCGGGAAATCGGCCTTCGGGCAAACGGCATTCGGGCAAGTGTCTTTCGGGAAAACGTCCGGCTCCCTTGAATCACAAATCTGCGGTACACACCATTTAGGACATAACTCACTCAAACCCAGAGTAGAACAGTTGGTGGCCTGTATCAATGAGTCACCGCCCTTTATTTTCGTTTTATGAATCGAAATAACGTGTCGTTTATAGTCAGAGAAAATAGTCAAATGTAAAAGAGAAACAGGGGAAAATGTTTACAATAAATGAAAATTCAACCAAGGCTTTATATAGACGTGTCACCACGTAAGTTTATTATTCTAAAAATAGATTTTTTTTCGACGTAATAGAGTGGCAAGTCTAAAAACTACCGGAAGGTATATTAAGAATCTGGAAAATTCTTTTTTTAAAGAGTCAATGCTGTTTCCTACATTTTATAGAAAGTTACGAGTGACACTTTAAGGACTTCAAACGTACACAGACAGAAAAACTTTGAAAAGAGCTGCGAATGTTAATAAATATGAAATTCGCCTTTCAAAGTGTAGGCTATACACTTGAAACTGTTGTGGCCTAGATGTCTATACAAAAGTTTGTAGACCCGGATAGGGTGTGTGTGAGAGTGGCTTCCCCTTGGGAGTGGTGAGCGTGCTTGAAAACAAGTATGTGAACGAAAGAGTGTGTAAAGAGTGTGTTGTGACGTCAACACAGTGTAGCTAGTCGTCAGTTTTTTTTTTCTTCTTGTCCATGTTTTTCATGTTGTTGGTCAAAATAATACTTGAATGTTACAAATTCCCTTTGTGGATTGTGTTTTTTTTAATTATTGTTACACCTGGCACTAACGAGCCAAAAATGGTACAGGATTCACAAAAGAAAGGTCGATCCCCCCCATATACACACTACGGTGAAAAGAGATAGATCTATATAATAAATTATCATCTCTCTCACGCACCACGCCGCCCTTTTTCCACATGAGAAAATTTGAATCACAATGCCACGGTACACACCGTATGGGACATAACTCACTCACACCCAGAGTAGACCAGCTGGTGGCTTGTGCATCGACGAGTCTCTGTCCTTTATTTTAGTTTTATGAATCGAAAGAACGGGTGGTTGGTAGTCGGAGAAAATAGATAGTCAAATGTAAAAGAGAAACAGGGGAAAATGTTTACTATAAGTCATAAAGTAGAATAAAGATGATATTATCAAGCAAAAAATATTCACTCGTATAGCAAGCAATTGAAGAAAATTCACACAAGGCTTTATACAGACGTGTCACCACGTAAGGTTACTATTCTAAAAATAGATTTTTTTTTGACGTAGTCAAAAGGGAAGTAAAATAACAAAAAAAAGGAAAGTAAATTAAGTATCTGGAAAACTCCTTTTATTTTCAATTGTGACATTACGTTCATCTTCGTTGTTTCATGTTTGTGTCCAAGACACAAGAGGTAGATTAATTAGAGTTCATCTGTTGTAAAGACCTCGGCATACAAGGGTCAGTATAATGCATTACGTTAGTGAATTTAATTTAAACATGTATAGACATATACTGACTTCTTATAATGTCGGTGAGGCTGACATTTGACCCTCGTCTGATACAATCAACGTCATTACGTGTTTCATGAATATTAATATTATGACGTTGTTCACCTCGCCAATCCTGCAGTACTAGGATATTGTCATCATTCGTTGTGTTAGTGTTAATCAATAACATCAAACACCTCATCTCTTTCCCCTCCACTCCCCCTCCCTCCCCCCCGTGCGACGGTAAAGCTACCGAAATAAACAACGTAGGCTACAGGGGATGGCGTGGTCGGGCACAGTAACACAGTATCTCTAACCCCAAAAGTCCCTAGTTCGGACACCCAGACTGGGGACATCTAGGATTGAAATCTACAGTGCTGTCTTTCATATCACTCTAGGGTAAACAAAGGCTATGTCAGCAAATCCTGGTGACAAAGCACGCTGAAGTCTGGGTCATCAGAGTTATGTGGCGCACAACATGTTGACACTAATAGTTAACTGTGTTGCGGGAAGTTGTTATGACGTCCATTTGTAATTGTATTGTGTGTAAAAAACAAGACGCGCATGCGCATCTTAAGAATGACAACAGATATTCTTTGTCGCGCATGCGCTGCTTATATTTTTTCGCGGTAGTCATATAGGCCTAGTGTCGTGAGCTCATTAGTTTCGCCCGCCTACCAAGGGTGAGGCACATCTGGCGGTAAGTTTCTACTCGTATGAGGATAGAGGTGAGTCGAGGAAAGAAAGACTTATTTATTCTGCACGAGATGATATTACTTCCTTTTTGATTGTTGTTGCTTATTATATGATTATAATAAGCTACATAACCGGCTTATATATCTTTTCATTATGTCTACCTGTTTGTAAAAAAAAATAAAAAAAATATTTTCGTGTTTAGCGGTTGTCCCTAAATGACGTCACGATTATTTTTACATTTGTGTACACAAACTCGCCTAAATGTGTAATCCTTCAGCCTAACCATCCCTTCTTCAAAAGAATGTTTACATTTTTTTAAAACAGTAGGCCTATTTCCTTCTTAAATATGAAATGAGCGCAACCGACATTAGTTTGATCTATATAAAGTGATTTACAGTGATTTTAAACAAGCCTCAACCCTGCGAAATGTCTACACAATTTCAGTTTCAAAAATTACTTTCTTAAAAATACAAAAGTATTACGCTCCGGTTTGTGATGTTTAA